CCTGCTTCACCTTCATCCTCCAACATGCCCAGCAAGGCTGGTCTCCTATGCAGATGTCGTCTTCACCCTCTTTTGGCTCTGGCACCCTCTTCTGGGCCACTTCTAAGCAGATGCCCTCACTCTGCTGGTGGGCTCTACCACCATCAAGCTGCCTTCTTATAGGGGACGCCCTCTCCCGTCATCTGGGTCAGATTGCTACCTTTCTTCGGTGACTTGATTTTTGGTCTAACTCCATTGTCCTTGCCCTGCTCAGACTCTGATGATACTCTATGCTTGCTAACCTGTCAGGATGATTTTTTTTTCTTTTTTAAGTAGGAGTCTCAATCTGTTGCCCAGGCTGGAGTGCCGTGGCACGCTCATGGCCACCACAACCTCGACCTGCTGGGCTTAGGTGATCCTTCTGCCTCAGCCTTCCAATTAGCTAGAACCACAGATGTGCACCATCACACCCAACTAATTTTTTTATTTATTGTAGGCACAAGGTCTTGCCATGTGGTTCAGGCTGGCCTTGAACCCCTGAGCTCAGGCAGTCCTCTCATTGCTGCCTCCCAAAGTGCTGGGATTACAGGCATGAGTCACTGTACCTGACTAGGTTGATATTCTTAATGCAGTCAGATTTTGACACCCTGCTAGGACCACTGTGTCTCTGTCTCCCCTTTCTCACTCTGTAGACACCAAGCTTCCTGGGTGCGTTGCTTTTTTTCTTCATTTCTTAAAATTATGGTATATTTCTTTATATGTATTATTCCCAATTGTCAAAGTAAGCCTATGAGGTAGATGATGTTGTTGTTTCACAGCAGAAAACTACAATTATTTAGGAGCTTCTCAGGGTAATTTAGGAAATAAATGACTGAGCTGGGATTTGAACCCATATCTGCCAGAAGTTCCAAAGCATTCTTTATACCAAGTACCCCAAGGGAAGCAGCTAGAGATGCAGGTAAAGCAAGGAAGGTAAACTTCATCAGAAAGAGCGTTGTATTTCAATGATTATCTTGGGTTTGAATCCATCTCCATAACTTGTAAGCTGTGTGACATTTGACAGAACCTCCCTGAAACTTAGTTTCTTTATCAGAAAAATGGAACTAAAAACAAAATCTGCCATGCCTATATTGCAATTTCGACGTGAGATAATAATGGATGTTAATATGCTCTGAAAAATTTTAAGAAACTATAAAATTTGAGTTTTTAAAGGAACCAAAAGGAATCTTAAGGAGTGGCCAGATTGTCTAAAAACTGACAGAACAGGAAATATAAATAGACATTAACTCACAGTTACATTTGATAACTTCAACACTTCTTTCTTGGTAATTTATAGAACCAGTAGACAAAACAAGGATATAGAAGAATAACATTATTAATTAACTTGGTCTAATTGACATTTATTGAACACTCGGCAAATAAGAATAGAATATACATTCTTTTCAAGTGCTCATGGAACATTCACTAAGATAAAGCATATCCCGGGTCATAAAACAAAACTTAACAAATTTAAATAGTTGAAATCAAGTATGTTCTCTAACTATAATGTAGTTAGATTAAAAAGCGAGTCTCCTAAAAAGAAAGACAACGAGAAAGATAATAGGAAAATCTCAAACATTGGAAATTTTAAAAACACTTTGGCTAATCAATGGGTCAAGTAAGTATCAAGGGAATTAGAAGATATTTGAAAACAAATGAAAATAAAAATACAACTTATCAAAATTTGCAAGATGCCGCTAAAGAGGTTTTTAAAACAAAATGTATTACACTAAATGTTTATATTAGAAAGGTATCAAATCAATAATTTAAAATGAATTAGAAGCTAGGAAAAGCATAGCAGAATGAAAGCAAGATGAAAGAAGGAAACAAAGATAAGAGTAGAAATCAATACAGTTGAAAACAGAAAAATAAGAGAAAATCAATGAAACCAGAAAAATAAAAGAATCAATTAAACCAAAAACTGGTTCCTTTTAAAGTTCAATAAAATTGATAAACTTCTAGAAAACTGAAAAAAGTAAAGAGAGAAGACACAAAATGCCAGTATAAGATTGAAACAGGGAACATTACCAGAAATCTTGCAAGAAATTAAAGGGATAAGATAATACTACAAACAGCTATATACACAAATTTGATACTGTAGATGAAATACACCAATTCCTCTAAAATCACAATGACCAAATCTCCTGTGAGAGGAAATAGATGACCTGAATTAGTCCTTATAACTATTGAAGACATTGAATTCATAGTTAGAAATTTGTTTACAATAGAAATCTCCAGGTTTAGATAGTTTCACTGACAAATTCTACCAAAATCCAAAAAAGAAACGGTATCAGTTTGACACAATCTCAATACGGGGGACATCTCAGTTCTCTCAAAATTGATTTAGATTTAACACAACTCTAATTTAAAATCCCAACAGGAGATGTTATGTGGATATAGATAAGCTTATTCTAAAATTTATATGGAAAGGCAAGGTAACTAGAAAGACCAAAACAATTTTTTTAAAATAATAAGATTGGAAGACTTGCTCTACCTGAATTTAAGAATTACTGTAAGCTACAGGAACCAAGATAGTGTAATACTGGTGAAGAAACAGACACACACATCAATTTAACTGAATAAAGATTCTAGAAATAGGTCCACACAAATGTGGGCACTTGATTTTTTAATTGATGTATTTAGATCATTTATATTTAATGTAATTATTGATATGTCAGAACTTAAATTTACCATTTTATTATTTGTTTTCTGTTTACTCCCTCTGTTTTTAGTTCTTCTTTTTTTTTTCCTGCCTTCCTGTGGGTTACTTGAACATTTTTTAGAATTACATTTTGATTTATCTTTAGTGTTTTTGAGTGTATCTTTTTGTATAGTTTATTTTTAGTGGTTGCTCTATACAGATATAAAATCTATACATATCTAACAGTCCAAATACATTTAATGTAATTACTCATAAGGTAGAATTTTATTCTGACATTTTATTTGTTTTCTGAGTGTCTTATGTCCTACCCCCCCTTCCTCCCTTGATGCCTTATTTTGTATTAAATAAATATTTTCTAGTCTTTTATTTTAATTCTTTTAACATTTCTTTTACTATATGCATTTGAGTTATTTTGTTAATGTTTGCCATGGGCATTACAATACTTAAAACAAGCTTATGACTTGGGTATGATGGCTCATGCCTATAATTCCAGCACTTTGGGAGGCTGAGGCCTTGGATCACTTAAGTCCAGGAGTACAAGACCAGCCTAAGCAACACAGTGAGACGTCATTTCTTAAAAAAAAAAAAAAAAATTAGTCACACATTGTGGAACATTCTGACAGTCCCAGCTACTCAGGAGGCTTAGGCGGAAGGATTGCTTAAGCCCAGGAGGTTCAGGCCATGGTGAGCCAGGATTGTGCTGCTGTACTCCAGTCTAGGTGACAGAATGAGACCCCGACTCAAAAATAAATAAGTAAATAAAACTATCTAGTTCAAAGCAATGCAAACTTAATTTCTTTCTTTTTTTTTTTTTTGAGTTGGAGTTTTACTCTGTCACCCAGGCAGGAGCACAGTGGCATGCTCACGGCCACTGCAGCCTTGACCTTCTGGGCTCAGGCAGTCCTGCCTCAGCCTTCAAAGTAGCTGGAACCACAGGCATGTGCCACCATACCTGGCTGATTTTTTTATTTATTGTAGAGACAATGTCTCCCCATGAGGCTCAGGCTGGTCTTGAACCCCTGAGCTCAGGTAATTCTCTTGCTCTGCCTCCCAAAATGCTGGAATTACAGGCATGAGCCACTGCGCCCAGCAACTTAATTTCAATAATAGACAAAAAACTTGTTCTGATATAGCTTTATTTCCTCTTGCCTCTTTTGTACTATTAATCACCAATTAAATTTGTATATAATATTAACATACTTTTATAATCATTGCCTTATGTAGTTGTCATTTAAATCAAGTACGATTTTAAAGTGTTACAAACAAAAAGTATATTTGTACTGTTTTTTCTATTTTTGTAGTTACCTTTACTGTTTGTTCTTTATTTTTTTGTATAGATTCAAGTTACTATTCAGTGTCCTTTCATGTTAGTCTGAAGGAGTCCTTTTCATATTTCTTATAGGGTAGATGTGCTAGGAATAAATTTCCTCAATTTTTCTGTATGTGAGAATGCCTAAATTTCTCTTTTCTTGAAGAACAGTTTTGCTGGTATAGAATTCTTGGCTGATAGCTTTTTTCCTTTGATCCCTTTGAATATGTGTCTTCTGTGGTTTCTGATGAGAAGTGATGCATTACTCTTATTGAAGCTCCCTTGTATTTGAGAGCTTTTCTCTTACTGGTTTAAACACTTTTTTGTTTTTGGTGTTCAGCAATTTGATCACAATGTGTCCTGGTGTGAATCTCTTTGACTTTATCCTGCTTGGAATGTGTTGGGCCTTTTGGATGCACACATTAGTACTTTTCATTACATTTGGAGAGTTTTCTGCCATTATATCTTCAAATATTCTTTCTGCCCTTTCTCTCTTTCCTCGCCTTCTGAGACTCTCATTCTTCTTATGTTTATAGGCTTGATGGTGACCTCACAAATATCTGAGACTATGTTCATTTAATTTTTTTTCTGTTTTGTTCCTTAAACTGGATAATATCAATTGACCTGTGTTCAAGTTCACTGATTACTTCTTCTGCCTGCTTAAATCTACTCTTGGGCATGCTTGTGAATTTTTTATTTCAGTTGTACTCTTCAGCCTCAGTATTTCTATTTGGGTTTCTTTAAAGATAATTTCTGTCTTTTTACTGATATTCTCTATTTGATGAAACAACATTCTCATACTTTTCTTTAACTCTTTATTGTTTCTTTTAGTGTTTTGAAAATACTTATAATAGCTGATTTAAAGTCTTTCTCCAGTAAGTCCAATATCCGGACTTCCTCAGGGATAGTTTGTATTGACATTTGTGTGTGTGTATGAACCATACTTTCCTAGATCTTTTTGCATGTTCTTTTTGTTGAAAATGAGACATTTTAAACAATGTAATTTGTCAACTCCATAAATCAGAATACCTCATCCAGGGTTTGTTTGTTGTTGCTGCTATTGTCATTTTTGTTTGTTTAGTGATTTTCCTGGACTAATTCTGTAAAGTCTGTATTTTTTTTTTTGTCATGTGTGGCTGTTGAAGTCAATGATCAGTTACCTTAATAGTCAGCTAATGACTGGACAGAGATTTTCTTAAACACTTTCAACACAGAAGTCTTCAGTACTTACAGAGAAACTGTGTGTGAGTTAGAATATACCTTCAATATTCCAGTCAGTAGTTTATAACTCTGCCTTGGGCTTTACTTCCTGCATGAGCAGAGCCTCAAGGCTGGCCAGAGATGAGAACTTAGGACTCTTTCGTGTCTTTCCTGGGCATGTTCTAAGCCCTGCACATGCCTGATCTTTTAGACTCCCAGGGATGTGTCAGAGCTTTTCAAAGATCCCCATGTTTTTTTCTGCTAAGTTTTCCTGTTAGCCTTGTGTTGACTCTGTTAATACCACCTCTAGTCTCGATGTTAAACAATTACTGCTTATTATTTTTGACAAATGGTAGGGCTGTTCACAGAGTGAGTTCTTAATCTGGTCAGATTAACACAGGTCCTGAGAAGGTAGCTTTTCAGTGAGCTGTCAGATCCAACAGTGACAGTATTGCAGGAATGGGGCACTTTTGGAGCTCCAAAGCTGTTCTACCCACTCCAGTGTCTAGTAGGTACTGGGGTTTACAGCTGTTAAGGTTGCAGGACTTTTGGTCTTCAGGACTCGTACTTTGGCACTGGAGAGAGGAGAATGAGATTAGGGAAGTTAAAATGCCACAGGTATTTCACTAAGATTCAACTTTTTTGCTTGAATAAATTCTCTTCAAAGACTTTAGTTAATTTCCAGATTCTGAAAAAGTTGATTTTGACCGCTTTTGCCAGTGTTCTCATGCCTTCTGTGGTGGAGTGGATTTTTGAAGATTCTTACTCTGCCATTCCAGAAGTAGAAATCCTGGCTCACTTCCAAGCATTGTTTGACATCACTATACTTTCTTTTTTTTACCCCCCCCATACCTGCACTTTATACAAATACATATTGCTAAATATATTTCATATGTGTGTGTAAATAAAAACATTTATTTATTAATGACTAGTATAAAGACTGAACATGTGTCATCTTATAGTACTTTTCTTTCAAAATCTCCCTTCCCTGCCTGGCATGTCCAGGGACTCATTTTTTCAGGGAATGCGATTGCATCCAGAGGAATGAGACAGTAAACATAAATAGATAGGAAGTTCACGTTTCTGTTGTCATGAAGCTCCTATTTCATAAGTATTTGGGACCTTTACTCTTTGCTCCAAGTTTTTAAACTACTTTTTTAAGGGATTCCACAGAAGCGGTCTTATTTACCATTCCCATAAACCTTAAAAAAATACAAGCTTTGTATCCCAGCTGTATCCTTCTCAAAAATATTTCAAATTTATTTGCCGGGATGTGTTGCTTGGCAGGTATATTTGTTACATAATATAAACTGGACTTTAATCTTGGACTTCCTGAATGAATTTATGATTCGGCCCCATATCTGCTGACACCAGCTCTTTCAGTCTTCCTTATGCCCACGGACTGCAAGCCAACTTAAACTTCCTTATGTAGCTGAACTCAGTTAGGTAAACCCGGAATCAACAGAAATGCTCCTTATTTCAGCCAAATTCACATAAAAACAGTCATTTCAGCCCATGAAAGAGGAAAGCCTGGTTACTGTGAATTCCGTATTGTCTCAGAGACTGAAAGCCTGTCCTTGTGTAGCTATGAAGGATTTTATGTTCTCCTCAAGTTGAGGAGATGATGTGAGTGGCCCCTCAGGAAATAGAAACCAACCCAACCTCCCCTGGATCCTGCCATCCTGGTCTGCCAGGAGTTCTGGAAGACTGTGTTCCTTGAGATGCATCCTACACATAAATTTGAACCAGGAAAAAGAAAGAAGGAAAAAAAATGCTCTTGACTTTTTAAATGGGACGTGCAGAACTTCTGTCCAGGGGCCGGGACACCAAAGCAGGGAAGGAGGTTCCCTGGAACAAATAGGGAGGCCTCAGAGATATTTGACTGGGAAGACACTGCTGGTGCCATGGCTTTGTTGTGTTAGAAATCTTGGCAAGCATACTGTGATGAAGCTGTGGTATAGATGCTGCGTGACAGTCCATGAAACAGGCATCCTAAGATGGCCCACCCGTGAATAAGCAAGGGTCTGTTATTCAGAACTCCCCAGGTCAAATCACAGGATTTGTAGTGGGGGTTTGGAACAGCAGCCACTGGCCTCCACCTCCTGCTTCTGAGGCGGCACCCACCTTTCCTCTGTTGTTGGGGGAAAACTTCGTGAACCAGGCAAGAGCACCCCTCACCTTTCACTCTCCTATGATATCAGTAGGATGTCTTAAATTGTCCTTCCTGACATTCTGGGAGCAGCACAAGGGCATTCAATGTGTCTGCCTTGTTCAAGCCTATATTCCTGCAAGGATCAGGCACATAAAAGGCACTCACTTAAAATGCATTAAATCATTAACATTTAAAACATTCAAATGGGCACTGACTGCTGGGTGTGGTGGCTCACTCCTGTAATCCCAGTGCTTTGGAAGGAGAATCACTTGAGGTTGGAGTTCAAGACTAGTCTGGGCAACATAATGAGATCTCATCTCTACAAAAATAAAAAGTAAAAAATTAGCCAGCCTGTAGTCCCAGCTACTCAGGAGGCTGAGGCAGGAAGATCACTTGAACCCAAGAGTTCAAGGTTACAATCTATGGTCATGCCATTGCACTCCAGTCTGGGTGATAGAGTGAGACTCTGTCATTAATTAATTAATCAAGGCACACTGTCTTTTTTTTTTCCCCATCCAACCATATGAAAAATGGTGGATCTTTAGGTGAAAGACAGAATGAAAGGATTTTGTAAAATATTTTAAGACTTAGCAGGGCTCAGTGGCTCAGCCTGTAATCCCGCGCCTTTGGGAGGCTGAGGTGAGTGGATTGCCTGAGCCTGCGGATTCAAGACCCGCCTGGGCAGTGAGACCTCATCTCTACAATAAATCAAAAAATCAGCCGGGCGTGGTAGCGCATTCCTGTAATTCCGGCTACTTGGAAAGCTGAGGCGGAAGGATTGCCGGAGCCCAGCAGGTCGAGGCTGCGGTGGCCAGGAGCGGCCACTGCACTCCAGGCTGGGCAACAGAGTAAGACTCCAACTCAAAAAAAAAAAAAAAATTTAAGACCTGAAGTGGTGGAGGCCAATTAGGAGTAATGTAACTTCTTCTGCTAATGTAATTCAATTCCCAAAGGCAGAAATGAAGAAGCGTGGTCAAGAATGCAGCCAGTGGTTCTCTATGCACAAGTCAGGCACATACATATCACCCTGTATGTCACATTCCCATGCACTTGTGTTCTTCACAGCTTTGCACAGTTCTTCCTGAGCAAGACATATTCCTTTGCTACTTCTAAACTTGGGAATCTTTTTTTTTTTTTGAGTCAAAATCTCACTCTGTGTCACCCAGGCTGGAGTGCAGTGGCACGCTCACAGCCACCTCAGTGTCAACCTGCTGGGCTCAGGCGCTCCTTCCACCTCAGCTTTCCAAGTAGCTGGAACTACAGGTGCATACTACCATGCTCGGCTAACATTTTGGTTTATTGTGGAGACGAGGTCTTGCCAAGTTGCCCAGGCTGGTCTTGAATCCCTGGGTTCAGGCAATCCTCTCACCTTGGCCACCCAAAATTAGTACTGGCCACCAACTACCTAATATTTACCTCAAAGCTGGTCACCACACTCCGGTGGATCCAGGGACCATGGTTGAGACCACTGGTTGCAAGTTGCAAGTTGATGTCCATTAAAGACTGCCAGAAACCCATATAGTTAAAGCATCAGGTTTACTATTTATGGCAGCAAAAGAGGTTGCATGGATGATGTCTTAAGTCTGTTTTCTGTTGCTATAGCATAGTACCATGCACTGAGTAATTTATAAAGAAAATAAGTTTGTTTAGTTCACGGTTCTGGAGGCTGAGCAGTCCAAGAACACGTGAGGCCTTTTTGCTGCATCATTTCATGATGCAGGGCATCACATGGTGAGAGGGCAAGAGCAAGAGAGTCAGAGAGAACTTGGTTGTATAGCAAAGCCACTCCCTCAACAAACAACCCAGTCCTGTGATAGTAACATTAATCCATTCATGAGGACAGAGCCACCATTATTCATTACTGGGGGCAGAGGGATTAAGTTTCCAACACATGAACATTTGGGGGATACATTCAAACCATAGCAGGATAGAAATAAGGGACATCTCAACAGGAGGGAGCTAGAGAAAGATAGTAACGGGAATTTCTGTCATGGGATGATCGTGGGAGGGATGGGTCAGACTTTGTAAATTAGAGAGTTGTTGGAAGAGTCCGTGGTCTTGTCTGGCCATGTGAGTGAGCAGATGTTAGGAGAGTTTATGCTTAGATGGTTTGTGACATTCATGTTATGAACGGATGCCATTTATGGGTTTAGTGAGTCCTAGAACAGCCATGTTAAAAAGTTGTGATTTCTGTTTCAATTCTCAGTTCTCCCGAAAGCCTTCCTGCCAGAAGAGCAATCTTCTACTCTGTCACAAGGAAAGAGTGGCAAATGAGAGATGGAAGGACACCAGGAAATGACCTTACCCACCTGACAGCTATCTCCTGCCAGTGTCAAGAGGGAGAGCTGCATAAAGGCATGCCAACAGAAACAAGACAGCCTGCACTATTTCTCAGATACGAGAAAGGCCATCTGGGAGGAATTTCTGTGAAATTCCTGCCCATTTTTCTTTTGACTCACTTTTGATCTAGATTATAAATTGTTTTTCCCTTCTGTTTGTCTAAGAGGAAAAGAAAATGTGGCCTGTGCATTCTGTTTCTTAGGGCAGAACTGACTTTAATCAGCATGCAGATGGCCACACAGTCCTTCGCTGGCTCTGTTATGCCACCTGAAGTTAATAAAAGCAGAGTTTCCAATGGGAGTTAGCCTGACTGGTTCACTGGTAGACCAGGGAGGAGGGAAACTTCCATGGCTTTACTGAGGGTTGTGTCTTAGTCTGTTCAGGCTGCTGTAACAAACGGTCTTAAGCTGGTGACTTATAAACAGCAAACATTTATTTCTCACAGTTCTAGAGGTGGGGAAGTCCAAGATCACAGTACCAGAAAGTTTGGTGTCTGGTGAGGGCCCATTTTGTGGTCCATAGATGGCACCTTCTTGTTATGTCTTCAACATGGCAGGAGGGGGACAGACAAGATCTCTAGGTGCCTTTTATCAGGTCACTAATCTCACTCATGAGAGCTCCACCTTCATGACCTAATCATCACCCAAAGATGTCACCTCCTAATACCTTAGAGATGAGGTTTCAACATATGAATTTGAGGGATAGGTAAGAGCCGCATCATTTCTGCTGCAGGAACATAGCTGGAGAAGTGGGAGGTTAGGTTTTGGAAAAGGAGACATGGAAGAGGGGTGTTTTTAAGATTCTGAGGAGACAGTGGCTTTGATTTTGTTTGCAGTCCTCTAGGTTAATCCAGTGTTGGAATTAAGGGTCCAAAGACCTTCCTATCATTGGAGTCAGTGAATCTCTTTATGAAATATGCTGATTGAACCCCTCGTTTTATCTTTTATGGCTGAAGTAAGAATCATGTCATTACTAGATACATAATTAGTTAATGTCTCTTTCAGAAAAAGAAAAAAGGAAAAAAGACCACAATGTTTGAAAATCAGACTACTGAATGTCCCAGTGTGACTCTGCACTCATTGC